CTCGACCAGTGAGGAAAGAGGAGCAGGCCTGATCTTGATCAACCCCAACAGTACTCCCCTCAAGTATACAGTGAAGCTTCATTTTACTGCTTCCAATAATGAGGCAGAGTACGAAGCCTTTATCTCTGGATTAAGATTAGCAGCTGAATTGGAAGCCCAGTACCTCGTCACTTACAGTGATTCTCAGCTGATAGTTAATCAAGTAAAGGGCAAGTTCGAAGTAAAATGAGCCAGAATGCAGGAATACCTCGTCATGGTGAAAAGCTTGATCACAAAGTTCTAATACTTCCAGATCTGTCACATCTCAAGAGAAGACAATACGACCATAGATACACTCGCTAGGCTTGCCTCATCCTTGGAAGCCCCACCAGGAGGACCAGCATTCATCGGTCACCAGTTCGAGCCAAGCAAGTTAGACGTGGAAGCCATAAACGTCAACTGTGCATCGGCTGAGTCAAACCGAATGACCCCAATACGGGCATACCTACAAGAAGGTGCATTGCCAGATGACCCTCTAGAAGCAAGGAAGATCAAAATAAAAGCCCCTAAGTTTACCATCTTACAAGACACCCTATACAAGAAAGGCTACTCCTTGCCATTACTGCATTGCCTTTCACCAGAAGAAGCCAATTATGCCCTGCAGGAGATCCACGAAGGGGTTTATGGGAATTATTCTGGAGGTCGCTCCCTTGCCCACAAGGTGCTCAGACATGGATATTTCTGGCCTAGCATGGTGAGGGACACCCAGGAGTTCGCTAAGAAGTTCAACAAGTGTCAGCATTTCGCCATGGTGCCCAGCCCAACCACCAGAGGAGCTGACAACCATCACAAGTCCATGACCTTTTTTTAAATGGGGCATCAACATCCTAGGCCCCCTACCTCTCAATAGAGGACAATGCAAGTTCGTAATGGTCACCGTCGACTACTTCACCAAGTGGGCAGAGGCCAAACCCTTAGCAAAAATCATAGACGCAAAGGTCAAAAATTTTATCTGGAAGAACTTGGTCCATCGCTTCGGGCTACCCCACGCTATTGTCAACGACAACGCCAAATAATTCGACAAGTTGTTGAACTCCTTCTGCTCAAACCTTTAGATAAAGCAGCCTCACTCCAGCCCAGCGCACTCGTAGGTAAATGGATAAGCAGAAGTCATGGTGTGAACGGTGTTACGCAACCTAAAGACAAGGCTCGAAAGGGCGAAGGGCCTTTGGGTTGACAAACTCCCCGGCGTATTATGGGCTTACCAAACCACGCCAAGAACCCCAACAAAGAAACCCCATTCTCCCTTGCCTTTGGAACTGAAGCACTCATCCCTGTGGAGATTGGAGTACATTCTCTAAGGGTCCAACACCATAACCCCATCACCAACGAGACACCGCATCAACCTTGACTTGATAGAGGAGGCAAGGGAGATGGTTGTGGTCCGCAATGCAGAGTCTAAGCGCTGCATGGCAAAATACTACAACTCGAGGGTGAAGCCTCGTTTCTTCCAACCAAGAAATCTAGTCCTCAAGAAAGTGATCCTCGCCACAAAGGATTCACGAGAAGGGAAGCTAGAACCGAACTGAGAAGTACCATACCTCATAACGGAAGTGGTTAGGCCAGGCACTTACAAGATCCATAATTCGGAGGGGAAGGTCTTACCCCATCCATGCAAATGCTGAGCACCTAAGGAGGTACTACCAATGACACATTAGCAGAGTAGAAACAGTTGGAGACTTGATTTTATTTTTGTATCTTTTTGGGGTTATTACCCATTGATGTTTTAGCATAAGCAATGAATGAATAAAACTTTTCAAGTTGATTTTAAAATTCTTTGCATTCTATTTCAAAAAGAGTATCAGTGGCAAAAAACCACTTTTACAAAAGCAAGGCCGCAAAATGCCTTTCTAAAAAAAAAAAAGTCCCTAGAACTCTAACTACTTTCATGGTCATCCCCCTCCTCATCTTCCTCATCGTACTCAGCATCAGCAGAGCCTCCACTGCCATCATTAGGCGCCTCAGATGGCAAGCCTAGAACATCAATATGAGGGGAAGCAGTAGAGATCTTTCCCCTGAGCTCCTCATAACCATCAATGAAGACATCAACAAGGAAATTCTCCAGATCACTCTTGGCTATGGTGGTCTTCTCCTCAGCCTGAGAAGCTCTCTCATAAGCCTCTTTTACCTTTACCTCTGTGGCAGCTTCTCTAAACATGGCCTTTTTACGGGTCTCTGCAAGCTCAGCCTCCCTGAGCGTGGCCCTCTCACAGGCCTCCACAAGCTCAGCCTCTCTGAGCGCGTCCCTCTCACGGGTCGCCAAAAGCTTAGTCTCAAGTTTAGTTGCTCTCTCAAGGGCCTCTGCAAGCTTAGCCTCTCTAAGCGTGTCCCTCTTACGGGTCGCTAAAAGCTCAGCCTCAAGCTCATGGGATGCTAAAAGCTCTGTCTCACTGAGCGTGGCCCTCTCACGAGTTACCACAAGCTTAGCCTGAGAAGCCCTACTAGCAGCTTCAAGCTTAGCAATCTTCTCCTGAGAAGCAAGGAGCTCTTTTTGCATAACTTCATTACTCTGCCTCAGCTGGCCGTGATAATGGGCCCTTGAAAGCAAGCAAATAGATGCACTTGAAGCCTAAAAAAGATAAAAGATAGAGGAATGACAAAACGCAAAAGAAAGTAATGGAGAAAGGGAAATGACAGACCCTTACTTGAGCCAGGCCTTTCAAAAATGTGTTGATAATCCCCTCGGTGCCCAGAGTACTAATATAAGTAACTTTGGGTGTAAACACAAACCTCCTAAGTCTTTCCCTGATGACTGGTGGGTTGCCCAATATGGGACCAGCCCAAATCGGTGCCCCTGTAGAAGTTCCCACACGAGGAAGGGACGAACAAAGGGCAAAAGGTGTAGCCAACAAGGAAGACTCTAGAGTAGTAGTCGCAACTGAAAAGGTCGTCGACTGAGGAGGCACCACTGGAGGGATCACTTGATGGAAACATACTCGAGGCCCCACTAGAGGGGTTGCTTGAGGAGAGCTCACCTCGTGCGATGCAATTGAAGAGGTCACTTGGGAGACGTGACCCACTTTGAAAGTCCTTGCCACCTTTGGAGGAGGAAGACTCCTACTAGTGAGGCGAGACCCAATCACCCCGACTACTGCAAATGAAAGAAAGTGTTATCTAATTGAAAACATCAAGCGAAGGAGGAAGGTACAAAAAAAAAAGTCAACTCACCCTTCCTCTTTGAAGAGGAGCCACCAGACTTCGGGGAGAGAGTAATAGCCCTAGCATTCTTGGGCAAAAGAACTCCCAAGTCTTTGTCGCGATGAGCCCTCATGGACTGTAATTTCCACTCTTGGTCTTTGGAGAGCACTGGTGAATTTGCAAACGGATGATAGGTACACATAAAAAGAGAGAGAGAGAGAGAAAAAAGAGTAAGTTTAGGGCGTACCGAGTTTCCTAGAAACACCCTATCGTGTTGGTACCAAAGCCCTATCGGCCTCAGCAGCCCACTCTCCGCCGACAAATAAGAAACGAGATTTTCAACTGTGGCAATTAGAGGGTAATCCCGTAAGCAACTTACCACCTATCGTGGTAAAATAGTACCACCCTCTATTTGAAGCAAGAGTCTCACTCAAGTTATAAGCCACGTGAAATTCAATAGGGGAGGCATCTTCATAATGCACCTTCCTCCACAATACCAAGAAATCCAGTAAAACTTTCCAACTATCAGGTGCCAACCGCCCAGGTGTCAATGAAAAGTAATTTAGGATGCCACAAACGGAAGGAGGCATTAGGAACCTGAGCCCGGCCTCAAGCATCTCCTCATAGATGACAATGTCATCGGAGGAGTCATCACAAATAGGCTCACCCATTTCACCCCGGCGGCATAACATAGTTGGAGGAATATAATAAACAGAAACAATCCTCAGAATATCATCGTCAATATTAAGCATGCTAGAAAGGGTACTTACTTTAAACCCATCGTCGTCAAGAGCTACTTTGCTTTGGTGCTTCTTGCTGCGAGGGCGTGAAGAGTTGCATGAGTTACCAGAAATCTTACTTCAAGGAGTTTCGCTTGAAGGAGCCAAATCATCTGCCAGGGGGTCCACGCCTGTCGGTGCCCAGATTAGCGCCCAAGTCAGCATGCGTTACCTCCTGGTCGCCTGAACTCCTCAAATCAGCACCCAAAGGGGCACCCAAATCTCCCTGGTTGCCTAGACTCCCCAAGTCAGCACCCAAGGCATACCCATGCTCGCCCAAACTGCCGGTGCCCCCTACGTCGCCTACACGCGTGCTCAGCACCTTCCTCTGCTCACCTAATGAGCTGCCCAGCACAGCAGGCCACTTGCCCAAGCTGCCTAGCGTAGTAGGCTTGCCCAATCCAGCCCCTTGCTTGCCCAAGATGCCTAGAACATCAGCCTGTGCGCTCAAATTGCCCATATCAGCCCCCTTTTTTCCTCTCTACTCACCTGGACTAGACAAATCAATGCCTATTGGAGCCTGCGCAACTCCCCTCGCACTGATCTGCCCTCCTGGACTGCCTGAGTAGGCGCATAAACCAGGCAGCTCGCCTGCCACCTGGCTTGCACAGCCGCCGATAACCCTTGCGTGAAGGGACTGCTCGTCCGCTTCCTTTGCGCGCCCACTTGCGCGCCTGGGCTCAGCTGAGTTCGCCACACCACCGCCTGCACGCCTGACCACTGCCTCATGATCGGCCGATTCACCCAGAACAGCGCCTGAATGGGCGCCCAGCTCCCTCACCTCACGCGGCTCCCCCATGGCCCAAAAAAGAGCTGTCTGCTCTCCTATGCATCCTAAGTGTGCCCCTAAGTCAGATCTAGAGAAGAGAGGCTCTCGACCTCAAGAATGCCCCCTGGATATTCGCCTATGGAAGTTAGGGGTGTTAATTAAGTTGGGTTCGAATATAATAGTTTGATTATTTATATATAAATGAGTAAGTTTGTTTAATTATTTATACATTAATGAGCTTAAAAAAATGTTCAAATTTAGCTTAATTAACAGTCCTAATTTGAAGTCAATCTCTCCTCCATCGTGCCCAGCAATAAGATGGCCACCACCTTCAATGCTTTCTTCTTCCTAACGACAATGAGTGTTTGTCATTAGGAATCCAAGAATCCCTAAATTTGGGTCTCCAAAGATTTCAAGAAGAAGTACTATTGAATGAGTTAAAGAAAATGAGTAGAACGAAGAAGGAGACTTTTATTTATAGCTTAGGGTTTTAAAAAGAGAAAAGTCCAATTAAAAATCAAGTGCTCTTCTAGAATTCAAGAGGAAGAATAAAAGGAAGAGTTTATATAGCTGGAGATGTTCTACAGACCTAAAATACATCAGGAATGGAGAAGGAGCGTTGGTATCTGATTCAAAAAATTGTTTAAGGTCCGGGTTTAGCTAGAGATGTCCTTGTGACCTGTCCGGGCAAGTCAATCCCCGAGTCAAAGCGCAACATGGACATGGTTGGAAAGGGTCATCATGAGTTAGAATTTAAATTCAACTAAAATGCCCCTTCTCTCCAAGTTTCATTGGACACAGGGCATTAGGGGACAAATGATGGGTCAAACCCAACTCATGTATAAGCCCAATATGGATTAATGGCTTAACTCCAAGAAGTCCAGCTAGCTAAGCCCAATGAGGTCCAGGTTCACACAAACTCAATAGCTTGGCTACAAGAGAGCATCTAGGAACCTCACCCTCACCTCATCCTTTGACCGAGTCTCATAGAGAGCACCTCAAACTCATCACCCGTTAAGAAGAAGTGATCAGTTCCACCAAAATAGTTATTTAATTGCTAATATTTCACCCAAATATGTTAAAAGGGCGATTATAAATTGTAAGCCCCACCAACACTTGGGGGGGCATCACACTTTGTTAAGCACAACANAATGCCTATTGGAGCCTGCGCAACTCCCCTCGCACTGATCTGCCCTCCTGGACTGCCTGAGTAGGCGCATAAACCAGGCAGCTCGCCTGCCACCTGGCTTGCACAGCCGCCGATAACCCTTGCGTGAAGGGACTGCTCGTCCGCTTCCTTTGCGCGCCCACTTGCGCGCCTGGGCTCAGCTGAGTTCGCCACACCACCGCCTGCACGCCTGACCACTGCCTCATGATCGGCCGATTCACCCAGAACAGCGCCTGAATGGGCGCCCAGCTCCCTCACCTCACGCGGCTCCCCCATGGCCCAAAAAAGAGCTGTCTGCTCTCCTATGCATCCTAAGTGTGCCCCTAAGTCAGATCTAGAGAAGAGAGGCTCTCGACCTCAAGAATGCCCCCTGGATATTCGCCTATGGAAGTTAGGGGTGTTAATTAAGTTGGGTTCGAATATAATAGTTTGATTATTTATATATAAATGAGTAAGTTTGTTTAATTATTTATACATTAATGAGCTTAAAAAAATGTTCAAATTTAGCTTAATTAACAGTCCTAATTTGAAGTCAATCTCTCCTCCATCGTGCCCAGCAATAAGATGGCCACCACCTTCAATGCTTTCTTCTTCCTAACGACAATGAGTGTTTGTCATTAGGAATCCAAGAATCCCTAAATTTGGGTCTCCAAAGATTTCAAGAAGAAGTACTATTGAATGAGTTAAAGAAAATGAGTAGAACGAAGAAGGAGACTTTTATTTATAGCTTAGGGTTTTAAAAAGAGAAAAGTCCAATTAAAAATCAAGTGCTCTTCTAGAATTCAAGAGGAAGAATAAAAGGAAGAGTTTATATAGCTGGAGATGTTCTACAGACCTAAAATACATCAGGAATGGAGAAGGAGCGTTGGTATCTGATTCAAAAAATTGTTTAAGGTCCGGGTTTAGCTAGAGATGTCCTTGTGACCTGTCCGGGCAAGTCAATCCCCGAGTCAAAGCGCAACATGGACATGGTTGGAAAGGGTCATCATGAGTTAGAATTTAAATTCAACTAAAATGCCCCTTCTCTCCAAGTTTCATTGGACACAGGGCATTAGGGGACAAATGATGGGTCAAACCCAACTCATGTATAAGCCCAATATGGATTAATGGCTTAACTCCAAGAAGTCCAGCTAGCTAAGCCCAATGAGGTCCAGGTTCACACAAACTCAATAGCTTGGCTACAAGAGAGCATCTAGGAACCTCACCCTCACCTCATCCTTTGACCGAGTCTCATAGAGAGCACCTCAAACTCATCACCCGTTAAGAAGAAGTGATCAGTTCCACCAAAATAGTTATTTAATTGCTAATATTTCACCCAAATATGTTAAAAGGGCGATTATAAATTGTAAGCCCCACCAACACTTGGGGGGGCATCACACTTTGTTAAGCACAACACTCTCCTCTCCCTCGCAGCTTGTAGCTCTCTGCTCTCCTTGCACATTTGAGTTAATAAAATACCCAGCGACCCTGACCATTCAAAAGTGGACGTAGGTCACTTTGACCGAACCACTATAATTCTCATCTTCCCTCTATTTTAATTATTGCATTTATTATTCATACTTGACAGGTGGTGTGCAAACTCAATTTGTGCATCAGCACTATGTATGTCCCTCTAGGAGTGCTTCTCACATGAGAGATTTTGGGCGCCAAATATCGATGATTTTACAGCAATGCTCTCTTAATTTCTTGTTCTTCTGACGTGAGATGAAAATAGAAATGTTGACTAGTGTTAACTCCTAGACCACGTTGGAACATATTTACACGGTTCAAAATACAACGTGAAAAAATTAAATTTTTGGGGTGTGAATTAGAATTTTTGGTATCTTTATGGGGGCAAAGTGGGATTTGTCCTAATAAAACTGTAGAGGCAAAAATTTCGCTTTTTATAACTATTTCACCTTCTTCCAAGAACAAACTTTAAATTTTGTTAGATTGCAAGTGATAATTTCCTATGTTCCCACCAATGAGAAGCACTTCATTTGTATGTCACTGCACACACCTTCCTATTCTCATAGGTTTCATAATAACCAAAGAATCTCTCAATCTTGGCCGACCAAGCTAAAAAATCTTGTTTATAAATGTAACCATCAAAATTGAGTATATTAACTTTCATACAAAAAATTCCTAAACTCATAACTGTATCCTCTATATCTTATACTAATCATGACCACCAAATACACATACAACATACTTGTCATAATCAAATATTTTTTGGTGACTTAGAGGAAACCCAACAGTTTATTGTCAGACTTATCGACTTGTATAGCCATTAGAGAAAACCTTCGCGGCTCATGCAATACCCCACTAACCACATGAGCTAATTAAATCCCAGGACTTACACCCTATGTAGTTGGCCCTATGACTCAAAATGGGGACATATGGATGATACCATAGAAATCTTACCATTTGAATTGACCCTTCAGGTTTACTCATTATCATCGTTAATGTAATCTACGTCATAAATACTTTTTTATTTGATGGGGACAAGATTGAAATCTCGAACTGATTGAACACAAATCTTATCATTATTTTTGAACCCTAATATGATCTGAATCTTAATTGGTTCTCAACATTGACCTAGCAATCAAATTGTGAAAATCATGATTAAGATTTCTTGGTAAAATGTCGAAAACTTTGAAACTAAGAGTAAATATTCCATATGATCACTGTCATGGAGAATGTTACCATCACTTCGTTGATTATAAAATATGTCAAGTTAGTCAAAGCTCTTAATACCAATTGACACAACAGTATCAAATACACAAAGAAAGTTATGTTTGTTTATGCATAGAAACAAAAAAACAATCCTAATCTATGTGATAAAAAGAGAAATATTTTGGTATTACAATATTATTCAATGAATAAAACTTGCATTACATAAAAATAATTTATTAGAATTTCCAAAATTCTAAATATTTTTGTAAAAAATAAAATATCTAATTATGTGAATGTTAATACAAAATAATAATACATGTAGTTTAAAAGTTAAAAAAATTTAAATGATTTAGACAATTAATCACTCTAAAATAAAATAACATGTTATATTTGGTAAGTAACCATTTATTTAATATTATAGTTAAAAAAAATTAATTTTTCAGTATATAAAAGCAAAATAACAATTTAGATTGATTTAATTTTTGTCTAGTTTGCTTCAATAGTATAAAACTCATTCCATTTTTGTTCCTCACTAAAAAATATTATCTTCTCTGTGTCGTCCTCAATATCAAACAACTCAACTAATACACTTTCTAATGACATACAATCCCACTAATTCACATCTATCTCTCTTCTCTCCCTTACCTCTTTATTATTTTTTATCTGTTTACTTTAATTTTAAATTATACAATAAAAAATTTAAATTATAAATATTATATGATTAATGTTTTATTTTTGGTATTATAGAGTGTATTTACTACTTAAAGATGACAGTGAACCGAAGCGGCGACGACAGGGGTTATAGTCTCTATTTTCATACCCACTTAAAAAAACTCTGTTTATCCCATTCCCATCCGTGGGTAAATTTGGAATCCCTGCCCCCACTCCTATCTACCTTATTCAACTAAGCTCAAGCCAACATAATCCAAAATTCTAAATAATCTAACATTATTATAGAATATGATAACATAATTAAAGGTTTATCATTTATAACATAATATAATTAAAACCTTATAATCCAACATAATATAATTAAAATTTTATCTCCCTTGTAAATCCAACACAATATTATGCAACACAACATAATATAATGTAACATAATTTAACATAAAAAAGTATAAAAATACAAAGATATACACTTTTACAAGCCAAACTATAAAAAAAATTAAAAAATAAATAATTTTCAAAAGAAAAAATTATTTAATAATATGTATATTTGTATTCACAACAACATGTATATAAATATAAAATAATAATAGTAATAATAATAATAACATGTAAAACTGGGCAGGGAGAGACGGGACGGAGGCGGAGGCGGGGGATAAGTGTTAGTCCATCCCCGCACGGGTTTGTACGAGTATTCTCGTATACATCTACTATCCAATATGTATAGTCCATCCTCAATCCAAACAGGACTGTTTTGGCCGAATACCCATTTTTGTCCGAAACCACTGTCATCCCTATTACTACTATTCAAATAAATATGGGTGTTCAAATTTTTGATTGGCCGCAATTTCCTACCCTATCCGACCCTACTGAATGGCTAGCCACAAAAATCGGTAGGAATTGGGAAGAGTTTTTAGTCTTCCGATTGAATCGGGTAAGAATGCAGAATAACCATCAATTTTCGCATTCCTACCTTACCCTACCCGTATTAATTAATTAATTAATTATATATATAAAAACTAAAAAACCCTAATTACTAACCAACCATCGACTATCGTCTACTGAGTCCTGACTATTCGAGCGCCTCACACCTCACTTCACTCCTCCTCCTTCATCGTTCAGTCCTGATTCCCAAGTACTCTCTCTCTCTCTCTGCGCGATCTGGTCATTGGCAGTTTAGACAGATCATTTCAATACATAGTCATTATCGATGATCAGATGGCCTAGTATAGTATGGTCGCAGGCCTTCATCTACAAACTAGACCTTACTTCCTCATGATCACTTGGTTGCAAAAAAAAAAAACAACCCATCACTTGGTTGCACACTCCTTGCTTCCTCATGATCTTGATATCCTCGTGGAAGTAGGAGTAGGGTCTTTAATTGTTGCTTCTAATAACCTCCACAAATCATTGGACCCAGGTTATTCAGAAGCCCAGAGAATATTTTATGGCTGTCAAGAGTAACGATTTGACAACTTTCATTGTTTTCTTCATCATCTCTCTGTTTGTTGTCCTACTTTTGGATTTTTTGTGATACTTGAATGCCTTTGTTAGTTATGTATGAATGCTAAATTTGTATCTTCGATTACCTTGATACATCATGCTATGCCTGGATTTTGTTTAAAAACATTTTGGGTTTCACCAGATGAAAGTTATTTTTCAATTTATTCTGATGTGTATTTCTAGGTTTATTTATGTCGTTACTACTTCATAATGTTAAGGAGTTGTTTCTTGATCCATTCTTGATGAACAATCAAGGAGAACTTTCTAGATGTTTATTTTTTGACAAGTTTATACTATTTCTTATTGGGATGATGTGTATCGAACACATGACACTAACTTTGCCCAAGATGTTTACGGTTCATGTTTTGATTATTTTTACCACTACATTAGCATCATTTTTGGATAGTGTTTTGCACTTGTGAGCACCCTTGGCACTGCAACATATCAGTTCTTATACTATCTCCATATTTTGTTTTTGTTCACAGATCCTTTTCTTATGGATGAAATTATTCCACAATCATCTGCTCAAGCTGATTCTAACATTAACATTCAAGTTACTGATGACATTCAGGATGAGGGACAAGAGATAAAAAAATGATCTAGGGTTTGGAAGCATTTTGAAAAGATTGAAGTTGTAGATGAAGCTAAATGTTAGCATTATAGTAAGATTTACAATTATCATAAAAAAAATAGGTATTTTATCCTTGCTTTATCATTTAGATCGTTGTAAATCCTATTTGGTGAACGTGACTAAGAATGACACATCTCAATTAAAGTTAATTGGTTCATTTAAAAAAGATGAAGATAGTGTTAGTAGTAACCTTAGTGTTGCTAAATTCAATGAAAAAAAAATTAAGGAAACAATTGCTACTATGATTATAGTGGATGAATTGTCATTCCGATTTGTTGAAAGAGAAGGATTTATAGATTTGATGAGAACTGTTGAACCTAGATTTTGTATACCCTCCTGTACCACTATAACGAGGGATTGTTTGTAATTATATATGATTGAGAAATAAAAATTGAAGCATATGTTTGTCTCATCTAGTCAAAGGGTTTGCCTTACTACTGATACATAGACGTCTATTCAAAATCTGACTTATATGTCCTTAACTGCACATTTCATTTATAAAGATTGGAAGTTACACAAACGAATAAGCAATTTTTTGAAAGTTCCTAATCATAAGGATGTGACAATTAGAAGGAAAATTGAAGCACACATGCTTGGGTGAGGGATAGATAACATATTTACTGTTACAATGGATAATACTACTTCTAATGAGGGTGCTTTTGATTATTTAAAGAGACAAACTAAGAATGGGAAGATGACTATCTTAGAAAATGAATTTATGCATGTTAGGTATTGTGCACATATTTTGAATCTAATTGTCATGGAGGGTTTGAAGCATAGTTTTAAAACCCGGCCCGGACACCAACCCGGAGAAGGGACCGGGTCAATGGATTTCTGGTTCAACCATTGGGTCACTGGTCGAACCGGTGATATAATAAAAAAATAAAAATAATTATTAATGATGATAAATAGACTAAAAAATTAAAATGGTTATAAAAATAACATGTTTAATATATATTAAATCAAACAAAATTATCAAGTCTGAATCACTTAATTGCATTCAATTAACAGCCCAACCTCCACCCTCAAACTTGAATTACTTAATTGTATTCACTTAATTTTTGAACTAACAAACACTGAACGAATGATTTAGGATTTAGGGCAAAACAGAAGGGGAAAAGAAAAAGACACAAAAATGTAAAAAAAAAACATATTTATACTAAAGGAACAAAACCGGCTGGTTTTGTAAACCCGATCCGATTTTGACTGGTTCACCGGTTTTATTCCGGGTTCTTTGCTCAAACGGTCCAATTACAAAACAAGCCCGGTTATGGGACCGGTTCACCGGGTCACCGGGTCAACCCTCCGGGCCGGGCCGGGTTTTAAAACACTGGTTTGAAGGAAGTGAACATGTCAATTTTAAAGGTATGGAATGTTGTTAAATAAGTGAAGTCTTCTCCTTCAAGGCTTGACAAGTTTAAGTCATGTGTTGAGAGGCAAAAAATTAGTGAAAAGGGTCTTCTTTGCCTTGATGTTCCAACAAGATAAATCTCTACATATTTGATGCTCAAAGTTGCTGAACAACATCAAGGTACATTTGATTTGTTGCAAGAAGATAATGGACAATTTATAAGTCAATTGAGTGAGGGGGTGATTTAGAGCCACCTACATTTGATGATTGAGACATTGTTCGTATGTTTATGAAGTTTTTGAAACTTTTCTATGAAGTCCCTTTGCTCATTTCTGGATCATTGTATACCACATCTAACTTATTTTTTCAAAAATTTTCTATTGTGTATGATCATTTGCAAGGTTATTGTGAAGATGGTGACTATCTTTCGAGTACCATGGCTATGAGAATAAAAAGCGAGTATGATAAGTATTAGGGTCATTTAGATAATATTAATTTGATGTTGATTGTTGCTATCGTCTTTAACCCACGCTATAAATTGGATGCTTTAAAATTTGGCTCAATGACAATTATAAGGTTAAGGATGAAGTGGTTAATGTTCAACTAGTTGAAAAAGATAGTACACTATATTTAGTGTGGGGTGTGGAGTGGGGTTAAGTGTTGACCATGAGAAAAATGTGTCTTCGGTTGAGATGTCTGTTCAAGATCAAGTACCTACAAATTTCATGAATAGGTACCACAAGTATAGGGCTGAGCGAGGTAATGTGAATAACAAATCAGATTTGGATCGATATTTGATTAAAGATGTTGAATTTGTTAGTGTCAATTTTGATATTTTGAATTGGTGGAAGGTTAATTCTTCTAAATTCTCGATCCTTGCCAAAATAGTTCATGATGTGTTAGTTATTTCCATTTCTACGATGGCATCAAAATTGACTTTTAGCACTGGGGGTCGTATTTTAGATCCTTTTCGTAATTGCTGCCACCCAAAACAATTGAGAGTCTCATATGTGCACAAAATTGGCTTCAATCGTCATCCATTGCTTTTGACTTTGAAGATGTTTTGAAGGATTCAAAAGGCTATAAACTGGATTCAGGTTTTTATACTTTTATTATTATTTTTTTATTATTTGTTGATGAGTTATTCGTATCTAATTTTTTTTCATACTCTTTTTTTTATCTAAGAAATAATTATATAGACAATTGCAACTACTCTTGAGTGAAGAGAAGTGAATGACATTAGCAATAAATGTGCTATTTAACTTTTTTATATTTATTTTAGTAATAATAAGAATATTTGTGTGGTGTAATTTATATTATATCATTGTTATTGTTGTGGATATTTGAGTTGCTGAAACATGAATTTATTTTTTGTGTAGGTTACATGATTTGTGGTGCACTGATGATTTATTGAAGCAGTTATAATTTTAATGTGTTTGATAAGGTTTAAACTTAAATTAATTGTTGTCGTATTTGTGTAACAATTATAATGGATTGATGTAACAATTATGATAGATTGATGTTTATTTTTTTTTCTATTATATTATAAATGATCTAAAAATTAATAGTTTCAAAAGTTTCCGTAAAAAAATTTTAGTAAAATATCTGATAAAAAAGACTATATTTCCTACTCATTAGGGTGAATACCTCTACAACTATTCAATTGTTTGTATTACTTTAAAAACTACATTGAAGACGACGCCGTTCAGAGTCCCGGTTTCCTTTAGTTGATCTGCTGCTACTACTCTAAATGTGCGGCAAACTATAGCCGTTGATCGTCTATCTCTTGCTCTCACTTTTTCGCAAGCCCCCTGGCCCTGGCCCTCCTCTCTAGAAAACTTTCTAATGTAGGACTTTCTCTCTCTAAAGAGGTAGATCACTGATTGAAGAAGCAAAAAGAAGAGGAACAAGCCATTGAGGACAACTTGGAGCCATAGATTTTCTTTGTTCACGGCCCTAGATCATCTCCTTCACACAGGTTCTTATTCAGTTTATACGTGAATGCATATGTACGTCTGTGTAAATCTCAAGACTGCAGAGTACTCGAGTCAAAGTTATATGTTAGTCTATAAAGATTGAATTTTTATTTCAGTTCTTAGTTTCCGAGACACTATCTACTTGTTGCAGGACACAGTTTTGAGAATTTTTTTTATGGGGAAGGAAAATTATTGGCTATTTTAAGTAGTATAATTAAAAGGGATCTTTGGAAATGGGGATATTTATTTCAGTTCTTGGTTTCTAAGACACTAGGTGCTTGATGGAGGACACAGTTTTTAGAAGTTTTTGATTTGGAAGGAAAATTATTGGCTATTTTGGGTAGTATAATTAAAAGGGATCTCTGGAATTGGGGCTTGTTGATGGGTGATAATTTGATGGATGGTACGGCAATGGATCTTGATTTGAACCAAGAACCTGTGGACCTAACTGCTGATTCATTGTTAGGATTAGGGTCTTTAACGGGTGAATTAGAAACTGCCCATGGTAGGATTGAAGAGAGAATTCGACAGCTCGAGGCTGTTACCGCTAGAACTAGGCAACGCCATAGATTGCGACAAGCTCGATATGGTAATGGAACAAGTGATGTTTCTATTGAACCGGTTGTTAATGTGGGTGCATCAGAAAGGATGGGTCAGAGGTGCATAGGCTGCAAAAGGGATAGTAGCCATTTGGTAGCAAAGGCTTTGGAGATGGATTCCAAGGTGAAAATGGGTGATGGGGATGGTGGGAGCTTTTTCGATTGTAATATATGCTTGGATATGGCTAGAGAACCTATAGTGACTTGTTGTGGACATTTGTTCTGTTGGGCATGCTTTTATCAGTTGTCATATGTTGATTCAACCACTAAGGAATGCCCCGTTTGCAAGGGAGAGGTAACGGACATGAATATTACTCCAATATATGGTAATGGAGACAGTTCCCATGTGTCAGAGTTGGAGTGTGGCTTGAAGGTACCGCCTAGGCCACAAGCACATAGAGTAGAGAGTGTTAGGCAACAGCGCGTGATACGGGGCATGTCTCATACTCATGTGGCAGAAGCACTTAGGCGAATCAGGTCTGGTATTGGTGTTATGAGGGAGCACCCACAGGAACGGGTTCTTGACAGTGGAAACATCATTCTTGAAAGCAATTACCAGGTGTTGCAGAATAGAGAGGTGGGAGGCAGCCAGCTCCTCCATTCCCGTCGATTTTCAAGAGTATTATCAGAAAGTGCTGCTTCACTTTCTTCCTTTTCATCCGCATTAAATAATGCTGAAAGGTTAGTTGAGGATCTTGAAACGTATATTCAAGACCAACTTTTGAGAAGGAGCCCTGCACAGTTTCGACTGGCTGATGGTGGGGATCATTCTAATAGCAATGCCACTGTTTTGCAAGCAGAACAACAGAATGTGGATTCTACTGATGTGATCAATTCTACAATGCCCCTCCCTTCATCCTCTGGAATAGCTGATGTTTCTGCCACTGCTGTACAATTCGAAAGCCTGACAACGGATACTCCTATTGAAAGCAATCTTATTGGGCCCCATCCTCTTTCATCTCTTCCTAGGCTAAGAATAAACATTTCAGACGTAGAAAACAGGGTGTCCCGGCAATCTAGAAGGAGAAGGCTGAGATGATGTGGTTTTTTCGTTAAGGAAAAGGGTAAAATTGATATGAGTGCCCTTTCGAGAAACTACTATTTAGACGTTTTACTGAGCATTTAAGATTTCCTCTGCTTTGAATAACCATATTTGCTGGTGAATTTGCATAGCTTCCCTCTTCCAATTTGAGACAATTGTTATTTGACAGTGCTTCATTCTCAGCCTCCACCTAATTTGTTAGTGGGAGCATCCATACACAGCATATTTAATGCCTGCTTTGCAGGGATTGCCTTTTCATGAAGAGTTTTCTGATATTGGCCTTCTTTGAGGAGTGTTGGCTTCTTGTTTTTTGGCAAGGCATATGTGAACAGAAGACATTTGGCCATCTTATTAGTTAGTGTTGTAAATGCTACAGCAAGCTCCATGTCTGGTACATTTTCCATCAGTGTGTGAATAATTCTACATCTAGTGTTATTTACTATTTTTTTCTTAGTGTGCGATGCTGTGTCATGAAAATTGGTGGCTTAGATAAAATGGTTTTACACTAATTTATTTTTCTCATTGGCTGTAACCAATGGGGAAGGTGATATAGTAGGCAATACAGAACCCCACAATGTAGTGTTTTACTTCCCGTAGTCGTAACTTCCTATGTTAATAACTTGTTATAACTTCCTATGTTAATAACTTGTTATCATGAGAAAAACTATGGTTTATGGGAATTCTTCCTCACTTGTCACACTGGGAAAAAAGTATCATTTTTTATCTAGCCTTGATAAGGAACTGGCCTGTAAAAAAAAGAAACAAAAACAGGATGTTTGAAGCATTGTGAAATTTGTCATTCTTGTGACTCTGAATTCAGTGCCCCCCCGGCGGAGACAGAGTTGTCTCCCGCGGCCTTTCAGTAGAAGAGGGAGAAAGCCCAGTCCTCAATCTTAGTCTCAACAGAAGGTAAGAGGAAGGGCCATTCCCTCTTTCTTTCGGGAGGGGCTTCAACAAGCCTTCATCATGTCAAGCTCCTAGCAACCGATTGGCTCCAAGGGACTTTAGAAGAAGAGCAATGAGCGTAGTGTTTCACTCTTTGAGTAAGAACCCACTTCCAAAATCAATCCTTGATTGCCATCGTCCTCTCCAACTAAACCCCCCCGATGGGGGGTTGGGTGGGGGATCAGAATCCACATTTTCAACAGTATGAACTCATATAATTGAAGAGAATGGATGAGGAGGTGGCCAACCCCTTTGGGTATTCAGTTTATTCAATTTTATGCCTGCACGCATCTTGCAACCAATGGTAATTCTTTCCGATCCTCCAACTTGTGTTATAGAGGACATGAACACAAATTCTCTTCAATGAAAAAAGGAATATGAATCAATGTTATTGGCTATTTTGGGCAATTGCATTTGCAACAATATCTTTTGTCTGAAATCTTGTCTTATGGTCTTGGGTATGCTCTTTACATTTTGTCTGGGAATCTGTCATTTGAAACCACTATTTTGGTAACTTGTCAAGAAGCATGGAGACTTCCAAGAAAGTTTTGTGTCCATGTGAGACACATGTCAGGCACTGACACTTTTGGGACCCATATCTACTACTACATTCAACATTCCTTTGGTCGTGTCTGATCTTGCTTAGGCTGTGTCTACGACTAAAAATAAACACGTGGCCAACAGTGTTTTTATGTCTATTAAAATGGGTGATTATTGATTACTTCTAAATATCAGTGCATGGATAATCTATACATCTTATATTTTGTACAAATAATTTCTTGTGTCGTGTTAAACCATGTTTGTGTTTTACTCTTGTACGATTTGCACTGGTGATGCTTTGGTGTTTGTGTAGTATCTCCATATCCATGTTTCATAGGTAGATTTATTTGCCTTCCTAGCTTGGCGTTGAGGCCTATTATCAGGTACAGGGATGAATACTCGTGTGAGTTGTGCGCGTTCAAATTTTATTAGTAGGTTCATTGGCCAATTGCTGTCTTAATCAGATGGTTGTATACTACCTGCTTCTCACTTGTAAGTACTTCCGCAAGAATAATGTTACAGGATCCATGAAAGATCGTTTGGTTTTGGATGGGCTGAAGTTGATCTAAAGGTAGAAATAGAATAGTTTGTTATTTTTCACTGTTTGCCTATGAATTTGCTTTTTTCAGTAAGTCAGATGAATTTGCATTTGGCTGCCCTTTAACTTATATCTGAGGGCTGAGATTCCAGAGTAGATTATTCAAATCCATCTTTTCTGACAGGATTTTCCAAGCCTTGTTCCTCAGTTAGGCATACTTAGATATACGTGCCATATATCAATTGTTTTATGATATTTTAATGCTTAGCTATTAGAGAAATGACTCATCTTTGCTTTTGATCGTTGGAAAACTAGAACCATGCAAGGTATATGATATCTGCTGGCGGCAGCCCAATTACTGTTCAAAATGCCAATATGGTGTTTTGTTCTATAAACTGTGTGCGCATTAATGTGCAAACGTACGCACAATAGATCCCTCGACATTGGACTGGTATAAAGTACTTTAGACTTGGTGTGAATAGGTTTCTGTGATGCTCCTGCACTGGTTTTGATTCTCACTGTTAGAATGCAAAGCTAGCAAACATATGTTTCAACTACGACCAGAGCTTTAGGAACTCATCCAGATAATTTGCACTCTTCTTTATGGGTAGGCAAATCACAAGTTGTCACCAATCAATTTGATTGTATTTTTTAACATATTTTCATCCGTAGGAAGAGGAAGTCACATTGGCTTGAGGGTTATTCTGTAATACTTGACTTATCCCCATCCTTCATTTGGCATACAGGAACATGGTTTGTTCCTGAGTTTTTTCTATTTTTTAATTATCTCATGGTCTTTTGATTGCTGAATTGAAAAAAAAAAAGAAGAAGAAGAAATTAATGCATAGCATGTCAAGTTGTTGGAAAACCAAGACTCTGCTTGGTAACTGCGCATTCACATGTTTGAAGAATGAAGATTAAACCAGCTGAACATATTAGTGCATCCGATGTTGTACTGTTTCATATTTCATTGAACAACATGAGCAATGTAGGAAGTATGTTGTCTTTTTTCCGGTGGTTTGTGATTAAGAGCCATTACGTGCCTGTGCTTTAGGTACACTTTACTAACATCAAGTCTTTTCTTGCAAACCAAAACTGTTTATTTTGTATTTGTGTTCATTTCCTATATGACCTATTGTCCTTATTTGTTCCCTGAATTATTCATCTATGTGCATTTTTTGTTGTTTTTGTCTAATTGTCATCTGTTTTTAAGACTTAAAATTGAATCTTTATTCTCTCTTTGGCCACAAACATATTGATTATGAAGAAAAACACAACAAAGAAAACTTGTGTCCATTTTGATCTGTTATTCCGAATACAGTTTCAAAACCCGGGAGTGTTGTCAATTTTCAACCCTTCTCTAATTTTAACCAGGCTGGATCTCAATCAGTCAAACTCTATTCCTGAATTTGGTTAGTGTTGGGTGGCCTGTCATGACTTCATTATTAGCAACGGCATCTGGATTGTTCATAGGAAAACACATGATCATGTAAAGCCATTTGCTTATTCTTGGTTCTTTCATATACGAGCGAAAAATGTAATCGCTGAATAGACTACTAGCATCAACTTCCGTATATGCTGATTCCTTGTTCTTTGCATATCATTTTTATTCGTGTGATTGCATTTTCGATCCTTGCATGACATTCTTTTGACTGGCAAACAATAGGTGAGACAGCTTCCATTGCGAAACTGTTGCGATGCAACTATGGCCGTGATTTGCTCGCTCCCTGCTTCCTCTCAGATGCATCTAGTTTTTCGATGTTTTTGATTCCTACAACAGCTACACAGATATAGCTAAGAGCTTAGTGGATTTGATGAAACTTTGTTTTGTGTTGTTTTGGTTTATAAAATGAAAATTGTCTTGTAAAACCAAGGTTTTTCGTTTTGCAACTGTGTCTGGAGATGGATTAATCTTTGATGACATAATGGAATCAAAGTGGTAAAGCTTCGAGACCCAGTCGTGCCTACCTTCGTATGTAAAGAAATTGTTTCTGTTTGAATTCGTCATGCTCATATCATAATGAAACAACTTTAACATTGCGTCAGACCCGTCTCTGCCCACAATCATTGATATCCAAGTCCAATCACAATTTGATCCATCATTAATAATGAATACTTACAAATTATATCCAAGCATGGGAGACATGAGAAATGCTGGATATGAATACACAGAATGGTAAACATTGAAGAGAGTTTAGTAATAAACGCTCATCAATACTTGTCCTTTACTCCAAATCCCACTATAGTTTTCATAGTTTTCCAATGAAATTGACAAAGATGGCTTTAGCTTTTGAGGGAACCGTCAAAATGGCTCTCAGACAAGAAAGCCCATTCTGAATATTTTTGCAAATTGAAATGTGGTTGGTGAGACAAAAACCAAGTGCTCAAATTAAATCCAAATATTTATAGTCGATATAGGGGTGTAATTTAGGTGAAATTAACTCAAATCAAATTCAAACCCAATTCAAAAATATTTCAAGAATACTCGGGTTAGATTTGGATTTAAAAAAAAAAAAACTAGTCTCATTTGAATCTCACCGGTGTTCGGGCGTTCAGATGGGTTCCGAGGTTTTTGAGACTCAATTTGAACCTAACTTGAATGGAATCTCATATTCAATCTTAGTTGTTTAACCCGAGGAATCAAACCCGAATGATTTGAACTTCAACCTGAGAACTAAACTTGAATTGAATCCAAACTTTAGCCTGAGTTGTGTAACTCGAGTTCACAAATTTAAGCAAGGGCAATCCTCTGGTTGAAGGGTTCGGGTGAAGGCCATATTCGGATTGTCTTTTGGGTTGAGATCGATAGAGGTCCAACCCATCCACATTGCACCCCAATCCATAACAATTAACTACTTGCCAGTGCCCACCTTATAAAACATATGAAATATTTGGTTTCTTAATTTTTTTTATATTGGCAATGTTAAGTTTTGAACTTGTAATCTTCACATTCCCTCAAAATATGAAATGCCAT